GCTGATCTTGATGGCTTGCTTGAGAGCGAGGGCGACGAGGCTGGAGAAGAGGAAGGAGCTGAAGGAGTACACGTGGAAAGCAATGAGACCCTCGGCGGAGTCGGCCCCGGCGGCGCAAACCTTGTCGGAGCCGATGAGCATGGCGGCGGGGTCGGTGGTGGGGTACCAATTGAGGCCGACGAAGATCGCGAAGGAGAAGAGTGAGTTGACGTTAACGATGCCGTCTAAGGCCATTATGTGTATGCGCGTCGTGGGCGTTGGACGGCGTGAGACGTCGGACATTTCCGTCTTCGCCGTTTTTGTGGCGGGCGCGGTGGTGGAAATGAAAACGGAGAAAACATTTTTTGTTTTCTTCGTTTTTTATGAAATAATGGGACGTTGGGATGTTTTGTTTTGTAGCGATATAATGGAAAACGTGGCTTTGAAGCTTGAAATTGGAACTGAGAGTAGCGTGTGTTTTCTCTTTTCTGGGGTAACGTGTTTTTTCAGGCAAGGGAACGAAAGAAGGGGATGAAGCAAAGCCAAAGACATGTGAGAGTTTAAAAGTTGGGGAAAAAAAAAGTTTGAAAAAAGCAAAAATTTGCGCCGTTGCCGGGGATCGAACCCGGGTCACCCGCGTGACAGGCGGGAATACTTACCACTATACTACAACGACTCGTTGATTATATATCAACTTCAGGTTTATTTAACAGCACGATTGTAAGAGAGATCAAGACTTTTTATCTACCTTATAATAGATGGCTCTCATTTCTATTAAAAGTATGGCGCTAAAATAAATTTTTTATAGCATTGTTTTGTTATAATTGTATCCATTGAACTAGGAGGAATTTACACAATTCCAGAAGTACATGGCTAATTGTCACTTTGATACATTGCTTTTCGGTACATCAAATGTAGTATCTTATCCTTTCTGCTGGGGCTAGTTAGTCCCAAGCAATGACATCATTTTCCTAATGTTATACGGCTAACTTTTTATAAGATTTAGGTGTCACGCTTGGAAGATTAAATTGATAAGTTTGAATTAAATGAGATAGAGACCCATCATCATTATCTTGATTCAAAAAAGTTGTTAACTAACATGACTTCTTTTTTAAAAAATGTTAAGGATGTCCATATGGTAAGAAAAGTAGTAACATTTTTTACTTTTTTGAGTATATTTCAACGATTGGAACCGCCTAGACTGAGATCATCCTTCAAGAATGAAGAATTATCCATACAAAAAAGAATCCTTTAAAAACTAGTCATTTAAAATGTGCAAAAAAATCGAAATTTGTTAGGTAAAAAAGAAACGAAATTGTGGATAATCGTTGAACAATTTCCAATTGAGCGAAAGATTTTGCATGAATAATTCCTTATTGCACTTCATCAACAGATAGACATAGATTAACTTATTGAATACATCCTTGGAACTTTGCACATAAAATAAACATGTAGCGGTACCATACTCAACCGCCTTCATATCATCATCACATTGATCACAAGTCTCAATTTGACTGGTCTAAGCTGAAAGAAACACAACACAAGCTATGTTTATTGTACAATATTCTTAATTAATTAAGCACTGTGATCCTTGACAATGGTGACGGCGCTGGTTGCATTTGCCATAACGTAGCTGGACACACTTCCCAGCAGCACCCTAAATTCAACAAAACACAAATAATTAATACTAACCATATCAAGTGTTTGAATTTGATGTATTGGTTGTAAATATACCTTTGGATGCTACCAAGGCCCCTGCTTCCAAGGACCAAGCAGTCAAGCTTTAGATCTTCGACTGCCCCACAAAGTTTCTCTCTCGCATCACCCCAGTAAAGCTTTGCCACCACCGTCACCTAAAATCAATTCACACAAATTTAGCATACAAAACGTACTAAAATGTTCTCTTGTCAAACAGTCTAATAAGTTATCGCGTCAAATTATCATCAATCAAAATCGTTGGTCGATTGACAGTCTGATAACATACATGGTTCTGCCTCTGTGCAGTGTCGAGCAAGTCCAAGACCTCCGGATCGACCTTGACTTCATAGTGCTCAATCACCGCTTTTTGACGGAACTCCGCCAATGGAATCAGAGCTGCATACAGATAAATTCCAAGCTCAAAAAATCCAAACACATCATCCAGAAAATATAATAAAGCTTAGTAAATTAATAAGATGATATATAAGTAAAGTACGTGATCCGGTGGTGGACCAAAGAAGGTTGCGGCTCTCATCGCCCTGAGAGGGCTTGACGTGGATGGCATACAAGGTGTCACCCTTTTCATGAGCCAGATTATTGATAGCCCATTTCAGAGCAATCTTGCTTCCCTTTGAGAAATCGACGGCCACCCCTATGTTTCTATCTCTTGTCATCTCGATGAATTATAAAAGTAGAAAATAAAAAAACAAGTGCTCTGAGCCCTGAGGAATATGGTAGAAGAAGCTAGGAGATGGATCTGAGCGTTGAACTTTCGGTGGGGATTTGAATTATATTTAAAGTCAGAGGATTTTTTATGACATAATGATCTGCTATTCTCTGGTTTAGGACTGGTAGGTGGTGCGGAAATACTCTTACATAATGATATATTAATGATTGATCTCTTCCCTAATGAAAGATTAAGAGAGGGACTAGTCCAAAGGTTGAATATTGAGTGAGACATCTCAACAAACAGTCCACTGGCTGAACAAATTATACAATTGATGGAGACGACAGGAGAAGAAGTATCCTTCTTGCTCTTTTCTACACTAGCTTCATATATTCTTCCCTAGTTTTCTCTTTCAACACTGCTCTCTATAAGTTGCAAAGTACTAGAAAAACTCTTTCATATGTGACCGTAACATTGTGGCGTAATGTCAAAGATAAATTACTTAAAATATTTAGGGATGATTATTAAGTATGTAAAAAATTCTATAAGAGGTTAAAATATCGATTTGTCTTTGTCCGGATACTTGGATGCTCGGTAATAACAGAAACTTTTAGAATTTGAAATTTTAGAAGTTTCAATCCAATGTACACTCTTAACTCTAAATTCTCCAAAAGTAAATTTGTGTTTATTTTTGTAAAATACTATTAGGGTTTTTGTATACATCTTAACTTTAGCATTTACAATATACCAAGCCTAGAAGTAGGGATCATCAATTGGCCCTAAGCCCATTGGTCGAAGTGGGTAACTCGAGGCATGATGGGTCAAAGTTCGGTCGTCTGGCCTGCTCTTGAATTGGATAGGACTTGAGCTTAGGATTTGAAACCATCACCTCACTCATGGCCTCGTCCATCCAGGCCCTTTAAAAAACAACTTAATTGATGCACTCCTTAACCTCATTTTAGGCTTAATCAAATTAATATAATATGTAGGAAAACTTAATAAACTTTTTATTTTGTTTACACATGTTATAGATTAAGTTAACTTTTTCAATATTGTCTAAAAATTTGTAACAAAAATTTATAAAAGACATTGAACCACAACCAACATCCAAGTGTACTCCCTAACCTTATTGTATACTTAATTGAAATAATATAATATGTAGCATAAATTAATAAACTTATTTTTTTATTTTACACATGTTATGAATTAGGTTAATATTTTTAATGTTGTTTAAAAATTTGTAATAAAAAATATACTTTTTTTATAATAAAAAAGGGCCGACTCATCTAGGCTCATGGGCGGCCCAGCCCACCAAACCTTGTTAGGCTTGACTCAATGGGGGAGGGCTTGAATTTTGGCATTTGAAACCTTAGTCCGGCCCAAAATTTAAAAAACATATGAAATCCGACATGAATCCAAAAGGTTCAGGAGAGCCCGGCCCCACTCCCGGTCCAATGACGAACCCTACCTAGAAAGCACCATGGTTTCATAGTGACACCAAAAAGAAAAGGGAGAACTTTAGGCCTTGGTCACGAGAGAGCCCGACTGAGGAACTTATTGGGCTATACATTCAAGCTTTGATGGAATGAAAGCTGGACCTATTACATTATATTTCTGCTGCAAATATACGGAGCAGTAAATTGCTTTATAATAGCCCAAGTGGGGCATAACCTGCAGAAATAGTTGACAAAATCTTTAAAACCAGATTCAGAATCGTATATGCACCAGAAGAAGTGGGCTACTTTCAAAGATCCAGCTACTCCACGTTGATATATAATTGCCAATATTTATTTCCTTATTTATTCTCTGCATTGTTGAGAGGTTGT